TTTGTGGAATAGACCATAGGTTGTAGGAAGGGAAACTTATGTCACAATAGATGTGCTGAAAATTTTTATTTTATTTCAGCCCTGTAGGATGCACAGGGGATTTATTTAGATTTTTTTAAGTTTTGGAATTTCAAAAACGCTTATTAACCGACCACATGGCAGCGCTATTGCAGACATGCTTTAATATGTTTAGTACATCTCAATGGGGCAGCTGCGTACTAGGTTGGATGACTTTAGCGTGTATAGTATTTGAGAATTTGATTGTATATCTGACTCCCATTGATGGGTCATTCAAAATATATTACAGTAAAATATTCATATCAAAAATGGTCCAAAAACGTACAGAAGAAACAGAATAAATCAAAATAAAAAACAGAAGATAACAATTATCACACAATAAAGACTGAAGATAATATAAAGAGCCAACATTTACACAGATAGCAGGTATGTATTTGGAGTAGTATATCATTAAGGTCCACTTTGGCAACACAGAAAGTTTCTAACATCCTCAGGTAAACTTATCACACACCATAAGTTTGTGGCTGAGTTGTTGGATGCCATCCAGCTTCCAGAACAGGTTTCTGTATGTAAATATAAAGCTCACACAAACAAAACTAACTTCACGTGAGAATACAAAAGTGGAACGCAGCTTCCAATGTATGCTAAGTTGACGTATGATAAAGATCATGCCTCAAAAGGGGAGATGTGTACATATTTAGATAGATATTGGTTCAAAAAAGGCTTTGCTAATTTACAACAAAGATTTTTTGCCCAACATATGTGTCGTCTGTGTAAAGTAACAATAGTAGGCAGGAGCTTTCCAATGGCCGCAAAGTGCCACCCACCCGTCCAAGTAAAAACCTTTTTGATCATTGAGTTAACATCTTGAGTAAACTTGAGATCAAATACCTTAATTTGGGGACTTTTTAAGCAAATATTGATATGTATGATTGTTAGAGATTAAATCAGCATTTCTGCCCCCAACTAAAAGTCTCCATGCCACCCCATGAATATTTCTCCAGACCTGCCTCTGGAAAGTTGTTACTGCGCATGGAGACTCTTCTACAGAGGCTATCAGAGGTGAGACGACCAGCAGGAGACTGATTATACTGCAGAATAAAATGGTGTTGGATCAGCTAACTGACAGTTAAGGAGGAGTATGTGCAGTGATTAACATCATGTTGCAATTTTATTGCAGAAAATGATGCTAATGGAGGTTATTATCCACAAAGCTCTTTTAAACATGACAGCCCCCCGGGATGCAGCTGTACAGGAACTACATCCCCAAATGTCCGATAAATGTGCTACTTGGTTCCTCCCCCTCGGGAAATCCCTTTTTTGCTTTTGGACTGACTCTTCTTGCTGCGAGGTTATAGTTAACTGCTGAAGGGGTTTCTGAATACTCCTTATTTAATTGCATATGTGCATTTAAGGCACTTGATTTTACTCTCATTGTGTTTGGTTAGACTATGCAGGAAGTGTAATGAACAAACAGAAAAAAACAAACACAGGGTTTTTCCCTGGTTGCTTTTTTCCTTCCTCCTTCTCAGAACAAGGAAGGCCGGCTGGCATGAGGCCCAAAATGATTCAATGTTTGACAAGTTGCAAGTCAGTATATAAGAAGGTGTTTTTGAGCACAAGGTTAGTCTGGACCACACTCGGGTTTATTGCTGTATTGACTTTGACTCTTTCTCATTAGATTCTGCAGACTCCAGAGCATTTTTCTGAGTATATTTTGGAGACTTCAGCAGGTCTAATTGTAAATTAGACTCCTTCCACCAGCTTGTTTAATATTTGAGGAAGACCTTCTTGTTTCCACTGCTGCGTAAACACAAAGACGCCTTCTGGAAGACTTTTGGGAAGCCTGTTGTAAGTTTAATTTTCTGCTGTATATATTGATTTTAGGCTTTCCCCCTCACATTTTAATTAAAAGTTGAAGCTGTTATTTTTATATTTATATGAAGTAAGTGTTTTCAGCAGTTTGATTTGATAAAGTTTGTTATTTGTTACAGATTTGATTATTTTTTAAATCATATAATGAAACAAAATCTGCCTGATCTAAGCAAAAAACATTTTTTAATGAGGAAAAAGTAAAGCTCCCCTTTGAATATTTCAACATCATCATGAATATCCTGACTCTACACAACGTTAGAGGATTCGGAGCATATCTGAAAAATGTATGTGAGTTTAAAGTAAAAGTATTTGTTAGGATGAAGTGTTCTTTTATAGGCTGAGAAAATTATTCTACTTCTTGATCTAAACTATACAGGTACTACACCCTAAAACATGTTTTTTGATCTGTAAACTGAATTATATGATTATACCATAACTGCAACCTAACCTAACTCTAATGATTGATTGTTTTTGTTTTCTCCTCTGATCAATGATACAGTGTTTGAAGATGGTGAAACTAAAGACAAGGTCTCTCTGGTTCCTCGCTGCCTTCCTCTCCCTGGTCCACTGTTCCCACAGGTGGCTGACGGGTGGTACATGCATTTTCTTTGTGCGAAGGGGTTCTCCTTAAGGAAACTCCGCCACAGATCCCAAACATCGTGCAGGACAAGAACATCCTGAACCAGAACCGATACAAACCCATTTGCCAGACTTACAATAATGTGAGAAGGTTTCTGACGCTCTACGACACCAAGAACAGGATTCCAGTGTTTTCTGCTTACGTGTTACAGAGGGGGATGGAGGGAGGGGCAAGACCTGGCAGGGACACTCTGGAAGATCGAACCAACAGGTGTGTTTTTCTTTTCTCTGATTCATAAAAGACTGAATTAATAAACATGACAGTGATATTGTATTTTGTGTTCAACTCATGATCCACATCCATAGAAATACTACTATTATTCACTACTAAAAAACAATAACTGTAATCTACCACTATAAGGAATAACAATCATACAACTATTTCACTGCACTTCTATGTAGACGGACACTGGGTCTACTGAATTCGCTACTGTGTATCAAACCCTCGGTTGGACTGATCTCCTTAGTATTAATCCGCTGCCAGAGGGTTAATTTAGTGGTTTTCTCTCTTAAGCCGCGCTCCGGTGCACGCCGTCAGCAACACTGGTGATATCTC